CATTTAATGTTAGGGAGTGGGTGTACGGGTTTCTTGCACCGGTCCATTATTTCTCAAAGTAGACGACTGTGATTTATTCAACACGTTTGATTTATCCATATGTAATATACTCGTATTGTGTAATGATTCGTACAAAATATTCATTTAAATGCTATTGTATGTACGTTTTAGGAAGGGATCTGATATAAATAATGTTTTTTTAGGAGATACTTAATCGTTGTTAGTTGACTGTCGTCAATGTTCATGTCAATTTATGAATATTTTGAGTTTATATCGATTAGTAAATAATAAATGATCCTTAATAATTATTTATTGAGATCTGCTCCTACAACGAATAAGCACAGTATATAAATCCATACAGTACGTAGTGGGCTTTGATCTTTACGGAAATCCTGTTAAATGCACTACTTCTCTTCCGTGACTATGAGTGCTGAAAATCATTCGAAACGTCGGGAACTAAAAATCAATATAAATACGCGAAAAGATCCGAAAAGATTTTATTTATTCATATAAAATGTCATATATTCCCGTAAAGCTAAGAAAGTATTACAGTTATAACCGTCAACAGAGTCTCCCGACTGACATACGAAAGTAAGTATGACAGTCGGGAGCGCCTCAATTGTTTCCCCTGTCCAGTAGCCTATAAAGACGATTGTATGGATCAGCAGACTGTGGAGTAAGTAAGAAGTGACAGTAACATAGCTGCCTGTACATATGTATGTAAATCCGTACAAAACCCCGAGTGCCGGTAGATAGCAGAGTATAGATGTTTGTATTGAGACTTGCGACGCGCGGTATCACATATTATACAACTTATCATATGAAATTAAGCTATTATATGAGTTATTTATTGTATATAAGATCCAGCTCCTCGATAAAAACCTTAGCACCTTTCCAAAGTACACATGTATTGTAGCTTAAAACTTTGTTAGACATTCAATTTTGGCCTAACAATGAATTTCTCATTAAAATAGGACAAGATTGAACAGTATAATAAAAAATCGTATGTTTGTATGTATGTATGTGTTACTGCGTCAAAACAACGCCTTTTATAATTTGTTGTATAGTGAAAGTGCACTTTGTAATTTCTTAGCCCGTTGAAGTGTTATAGTACCTACGCATTATATTTTTGGACGATGACTCACAGATTAAAATGATAAATTATAACACCATTTTGTTTTTTTTAAACCTTTTATGTTTATGTAACTTAATTTTATATACTTTCTGTATAGGTTAAGAGACGGCTGTAATCTATCTATACAGTACGTCCGATCTATGTGGTGGACCCCTCACTTGTTTTGCAGGCGATGCGAACACGATGACAAACAGGGAGGTTGTTCCAAAAATTTGCTCCAGGCTTTATCGTTAAAAAAATATTTAATTGATTTTTTTAAGTACAAGAATTCTTTTCCTGTGACAAATTAGCAACAATTGAACGTAAAAGATTTGTAGAAAATGCCATCATGCGGTTGGCGGTCTTTTTCGAATCCACATTACCATATTATATGAAGAGGTTAATTGAAAAAGTAGCCTCGACCAAATTTTTGTTGACATCTCCCCGGCCGTGTTTCTTAATATGTTTTATGGTTTAAAAAATATATCTCTCCTGGAAAAAGAGTGAAGGGTCCACCACATACATCGGGATTTTAGATGAAAACTAGAGATAATCGATATATGTAACAGTCACCTCTTAGTCTAATACAATTGTGATTTGGTCGACTAGTTTTAGTTGTGCTGATTCCTACAAATCAAACATTCCGACAAATCGATACAGATTATAAATAATAGGAAGTGCCGAAAAATACTTACAATCTACACATAACTTTTAAGACGTAACGGACAGACAGGCCATATTAAAAAAAAGCTATTGATATACTAAATTACTCTTACCTGTAATAAATTCTAAGGCATTGTCTTTACGGACATAATGATTTCTTTATTTGAATTTAATAATATATTTATTTGGTTTTAGGTTATCCGTTACATCTAATACAGCGGTTCCCAAATGATAGTCCTCGGAACTTTAGGGTTCCGTGAAACACACAATTAGTTTAATTAGTATTAAAATGGGGATCTGTTAAAAAATATGATTAAATAGGGTTCCGTGGCAAAATATTGGGAACCGCTAATCTAATACATTGTTTACGTATATTATATAGTCATGATCTTAATATTAATCTCAATACTTACATACTAGTAAAGCTGTATACAATCTTTATATAGTCCATTCACAGTTTGTGTTGAAGAAAATGTTAGGACTCTTTAGGAAGTATTACATGGTATAAATTTTAAATTGAAAAACATGCATAAAATAAAAAAAAAAAAATTTCAATAAAAAAAATTATACATCTACTATTTGTGTCAATATAATTGAAAAATATCGCTATAATTTTATATTTGTCTCTTGAGATAGTAGATTTTTAGGCACCCCTTAACTCACATTGATGAACATTTGCTTTTATAATATAAATTTTATGTCAAAACTTAGCCAGATTGTCCAATTTAACTTAACTAAATTAGACTAAAAACATAAGATTCAAACTAATATTATAAATGTGAAAGCGTAATATGTTTGTTTGTCCTTTCACGTCGAAACAGAGTGAAGCATTGGCGTGATTTTTTATATGTAGATAGTTCAGAGGGCTGGTGACATAGATGACGAGAAACACGTTATAATACAAACCGAACAATTATTTATGATCAGAATTACTTGAAACTTAGTATTCATTCTCTTTAATACAATTAAATAAATACGTATTTTATTTTTCGAAATTCATCCCATATGAAGATAAAATTGGGGATGAAAGTTTGTATGAAACCTACCTTTTTAGAGATTTTTTTGTAGTTTTAGTGCGAGCAAAGCCGCGGGTTTTGCTACTTTAAAAAAAAATTTAATGGCTTAGTCAAAAATAAATATTTCCTAAAGCTGTTTTAAACATACTAATAAATATGATCCACCTTTAAGAATCGTTAAAAAATAATATTTTAAGGGATAATCAAACATACAATGTGAGCTAAGCGACGATACTAATTCAAAAGTATATCTTAAATCTAGTATATAAGAGTATTTTGAATACTTAACAGTTCATTACAGACAATGTCGCTATAACGAGTGATCTATTTACATTTTTTCATTCCTTTACAAGTTTTTACTTCAAAATGAGTAGGTATAATCAAAAAAATAAAAATACAACTATGGACACTTAGCTCCAATAATCTTAATATTTGTGAAGAGATTCATAGAGACTTCCTTGGAACTTGGCTCGACCCGAGACTCGAACCCAGAACCTCTGTAATTATAGCCGTATGCTAGTCACTAGATCAATAACGCAATTGCTATTTACAGAGGATACAGCAATTTTTATACAGTTAAATAAGTTCTTACAACAGCCAGTAGTTAGTACCGTAGATCAAAAAAGTACTAGATACACAATCAGCGACAAAAAATGTCCTCACCGAATGAACGCTCATGTCAACATTTGAGCGCGCTTTTATTTATGATTTTTTTGTGAAACCAACTTTAAGCATTGCATTTAAGGTTTAATTTACATTGTTATATTTTTATTTCAACCAGAATACCTAAACACGATTAGTAACAGTTTTAAGAGATTTTTTTAATTATATTATTCGAGCTAAGTGTGACACTTTTAAGAGTACATAAAAGAAATTCAGATCTAAATCATATATGTATATAAATCTAAAAATAATAATATAATAAAACGTATACATAATATATAAAGCAAACTAAACAGTACGCTACGTCTTTAATAAAATCACAGCAAAGTAAAAAAAGAACTAGACATAATAAAAGTAATATCATATACTATAGACTACAGGCTGATTCTTCATATATAAATATATGAAAAAAAGGTTATAAAACTATGATTTTTGCCAAACTCCTGCGAAGCTCAAAGAAGGATAGTGTTTGACCTGTATGTATGTTTGTCCGATCCTATGTTCCCTTGTAATTACTAAGCGGCGTTACTGATTTTCATAATTCATACCTCGTTAGATACATCATTATAATGCGAGTCTCATATGGTTTATGGATATTATTACAATTCAAAATGGCGGACTTCAGACTCCAATTTGTGTCTTGATAAAAACAAACTTCTAAACCTCTAGTATCTAAATCTAGGTTTTTAGGAGACGTTTCTAAACTTATGTTTAAAAGTGGCATAAGATGAAATTTTTAAAACAAAATTGCTGTTGTATTAACAAATTAAATAAAAATATCCGACTGCGTAAAAAACGAACAAAAACGATGAGAACAAATTGACCAAGGAACATGGTATTTTGCAGCATCTTTAATGACAGTGCAATCATAGTGCGATAGTGTATATGATAGTCGTCACAATTCTGTGTCGAGGTAAACTTTTCGATTCTCGCACGTAGCAAATATTTGTTTTAATCTGTTTGTCTGTGCTTGTGTATTGTATGTTTTTAACCGACTTCAAAGACAATGATTTGCTCAATTCAGTTTATATTTTTTATACCTTACTCGATGTTTCAGTCATATAGTAAATAGATTAATAATATATTAAATAAATTCCCGAATAACACACAAGCCGTAATTTTTCTGAATTTAAAAAAGTTCCAATCTTTTATTATTAAAAAAATCTTCACTCTGCCTGACTAAAATTATAATAAATACCAAGTTATTAATAACAGCTTGATTTTTTCTTTACTTTTATAGATTCACTAGATTTTTAAAACTAGAAATATATAGAATTCATATTTTTATTTTATGATAAAATTAAAAAAAATCGAATGATGTAAAACTTAATGATCAACTTTAACTTAAGATTAACAAAATAAAACAAACATATATGTACGAGTATATAAAATATATATATATATGAAGAACCAACTATAACATATGGAGGTAAACTCTAAATTCATTTTTGAATAAAAATAATACTCATTAGAGATCAAAACAGTGATCTAGTATCACGTGGAATGTTCTAGAACTAGCGCGAACGGAAGGAACACCTGTACTAGTGGCGGAGTATCATCTGACAGTACAGAAAACTGTCCAATACTGGAAAAAAAAGTTATATTAGAATTATTTTTTTATGTATTCAGTCCTTTTTAACGTCCCACTGCTGAGCACGGGCCTCCCTTCAATACGAGGGGGATCAGGCCATAGGCCACCACGCTGGCCAAGTGCTTGTAAGCAGGAATATTACAATTATTTGTTTATACACATATAAAATTCCTATGTACATGTGTTCGTAGTTCTTTTCCTCCTAAACCGATTTTGATGATATTTTTTATGTACTTGTAGAGTCGCCTGGATAGCTAGGACCCGGTAGATGGCTTTGTTGTAGAAATCCAGTTCGTTTTTAATTTTCTGACCAATTATTTTTTTTGCTTTTTTTCGATTACTCACATAAAAAATACATTATTCCAAATTTAAGCCTCTGCGGGACAACGTCTGCCTATCTTGCCCGCTATTAATTATACATATATTATAGGTAAATACGGACTGTAGCTTTTGGGCGGCATTGTGAATATAGACCAGGAAAAATAGATTTTTTATGGTTCCTTCATATTTTTAGACAGACTTCGCGAAAATAAAATAACTAATGAAATTAAGATCGATATGCAAAAAATATGTATGTCAAGGTGCTCTACGAAATCTACGTCGAGGGTCAGCTTGTATCGATCGCAGGCAATTCCTTACACCTTGACTTTTACGGCGTTAAATCGCTTCTGTATTAGTTTTCACGCACAACTTTGAACATTTAGTTCATTCTATTAATTATAACTACGAAACTGATTTAATTGATGTTTGGTGAAGATTCTCTATCATTAATAAAATATTACGTAGATTATTCAAATATCTATACTTACGTATATATTTCGATATAACCTCGTCCATAATTTTATATTAAAATCTTAAAATATTTTCTAAATGCATATGAAATTATATTTAAAGGTATTTATAAGAAAAACACCATTTTTAACATGTTTGTCTTTTTGTCTGGTTATTCAGGGTTGTCTTCGAAACGGTTGGATCGATTTTCCCGGGACTTTCACTAGTAACTTTTATTTTAGAAAAAGAATTAGGGTTCCGCTCAGAAAAATTTAAACACCCAGGAACGCACCCGAGCGAAGTGAGAGTAAATCGTTAGTATATAATATAATCCAAATAACCATTCTTTATAAAGTTCTCAAAAAGCAAACATAAAATAATACCATACTCACAGTATTGGGCAATGCTTATCAACAGCTCGTATATTTGCAGCGGTCCGCGTCCCTTGATCACAATTTCGCACATGAACACATAAATGACCCTCGTTGTCTCGAACAGGGAGTCCAGTAGGAGCCAAGTGGTGATATTCCGGCCGCAGTTGTGGGCAGAGCCGCGGTTCAGGACTACACAGCTGTTGAGGAACCCGATAGCACTCGTCACTATCATTAGCCCTGACACCACGTAGTTGATTGCTGGAACAAAATGTTAAAATGCTGGAAAACAGTAATTTCGAAATATACATAACAATATAATACTTTCATAGATTAACGCGAATATTTGACATCTATACTAATATTATAAAGGGGTAAAGTTTGTGAATTTGAGAGGTTGTAGGGGGTAATCTCTGGATCTACTGAACCGATTTAGATGAAATTTGGTAAGAAGATAGTTTGAAACCCTGGGAAGGACAAAGGATAGTTTTTCTCCCGGAAATCATCCGTTAAGGGGGTGAAAATAGGTGTGAAAGATTGTATTGGGAGCAAGCTAGGGACGAACCCGAGTGAAGCGAGGGTGAGTCGCTAGTTTTAAATAAAACTATAATTTGGGATTATATCGCGGATTTATTTTGATTTTTGATTCCTGGTCACGGGGACGCCCCCGTGACCTGAAATCTAATCCCCCGTGACAAATCGCCTCCAAGTGTATTTTACTTGTAAAGGAAAAAAAAAATTGTACTATGAATCATAAATTTCCTTTTTTATAAACCATCTCAATCCAGAATCAAAATAAATATTTATTTTTAACCAACCAACATTTTTAAATTTCTAATAACTTGTATAATGTTCATATATTTATGTTAATTTAAAACAAATTTTATTAATTTCACATAGTATTACATATATTATATTGCTTATTGCATGGTAAACCCAAGTGAAGTGGGTTCAATTCCCGGGTCACACACCTCTGATATTTGTATGTGTGAATTATTTTCAACATGATTACTACTTGTCTCACGGTGAAGTAAAATGTAGTGAGGAAACCTACAAGTATGTTTTCGAAAGATATGGCTGTCTGCCAAACTACACTTTGCCAGCATGGTGGACTAAGGCCCCCTGTATTTGGAGGCCCATGCCCAGCAGCAGTTAAAAAGGACTGAATACATAAATACGATTCCTTAGAATATAATAGCTATTATAACTATAATAATTTACTTTTAAAGATATTAACAGGCAAGTAAATAACATAACATCTTAAGAGTAAATTAACAGAATATAATTATGTTGGCAATATTAATTACTACCTATATCGCTTCCATCCAAAGGTTCAAGGTAGTATAGATCTGGGTTGAGAATCCTTAGAAGAGCCATCACAAATGCTGTGGCCGATGAGATCTGAAATAAAACAATATGAAAGTAAGCTTATGAAAGTGAAATGAATAAGTATATTTGTTAATAAATATTTTACATACAATATTTCTAAAATAGTTAATGTATGGCCATGGTATGGAAATAAAAATTTGTCCATATAACAATATAAAATTTTACTTGTTAATAAAACAGTTTTAAATTAATTTCTTTTCAAAAATTATATATCACAGCAGTTCACCCTTATTTTGCTCAGGTTCACCTCTAGGCAAACAAAAACAAATCTCTCTCATGGGAACCAAACATATTTCCGGGATAAAAGTAGCCTATGTGTTATTCTGATGTATGAGCTATATTATTGTAAAGTTATATTAGAATGTATTCATATTTTTTGCATGAAAGAGTAACAAGCGTCCAGACATCCTTACATCCTCACAAAGTTTCACATTTATAATATTATATTAGTAGGATAAATATCATAACTGCTAGTTTTATTTTATTTGTTTCAGCTTGGCATACAATTGATTTGTTAATAAATATGTTAATAATTTAAATTAATTACATTCCTAAAATATATTTTATAAAGGTAGCATCTGTGCTAATACTTTAATGTCACCTGTCGTTATGCTACCACTTCTTGGCTCGCGTATAACATCGAAAATAGAAAGTTGCTGTAATATCACTTGAAATACATTGTATTATTAAAATTAAAATAGGTAAATATTTAGACAAAATTGAAAAACATATTTTACTTCATGAAAGTCAAATTACTCGAAAAACCACATTAAAGTGTTAAATAAAACGTTATTGAAACATTTCTTGTTTGATTTTGTAATAAGCTGGTGATGATTAAGAAAATAAATATTAGATCTTCTTATCTTTTTGAGGACGTTAACTTGTAGTCATGAGCAATTTTTGGATATTTTATAACGTAGGTCCATTTATATATTAATAATTATGTTACATTTTTAAATAAATACGGTTTTTTTCACGAAGTTTTATTATAATGGGGGTTTAAAAGAAACTAAATAGATATATATCATGCATCGAACAATTATATCAAAGCATAATGTTAATATCTTCTCACTTTACTTAACAAATAAAGCAATAAAACTTAATTAACTCTTACCGAGAATACTGCAGCCACAACACGCACATAAACTTTAAGTTCTAGCATCGGCATTCTTTTCGATTGAGTTGACATTGAGATATTATCAGACTCTCTTTTCATCCGCACGTCTCGTGGACTTCCATTCATATGCAAACATGCAGAACTTTTAATATTTTCTTCACAAAATCAATATAAATTCCCTATCGTATCGTATTTACGCGCTCATGCTGTGTTATATGTACATAGATAACAACAAAACAATAGAGATGATACCTACGACAGTAAGTAATGTCAATGTCATGATCTTTATACTATACGTTCAGGAACAAAGTCGTACAAATTGATATTTTATAAATATAATATTAAAATAAATTTATAAAATTTACATACATTATTAAATTATTTACTGTCTGAATTTGTAAACATAATTATGTAAAAATTATAGCAAGTTTTAAAATATGTTATATTTTGCAAACCTTAATATAGATGGCAGTAGTTGTAACTGTTTAATCTGTACGTATAACGCAATCAAGATTCAAGTCTGTTTTTGTGTTTCTTCTTAACTTCTAAATAGGTAAAAACTAAAACCATTGTAATTTACTATGTTATAATGCATTTCTCTCCTTCGTCTTTATCACGTAAGAAAGTAAAAATGTTTTCTGTTCCAAGCCTGTTAAGTTTGGTATCAAAATGAAAATCTTAAAGACATCACAAAGAATGAAAAATTCATTCTATTATAAAACCATTCTAATAATTAATTATGTAAAGTGGAAGTAAATTAATGGAGTTTTTTAACAGTCAACTTCAGGTATTTGTTCTAATATGTTATCGTCTGAAATTCAAGAAACACACCCTGAAAATTTCGTTTTACTTTAGTTTATTTTTCCATTCGCTTCGTTCATCTTCAATTCTTTTTTAATAGCTTTGGATCACGCCAGTTGAGTTCCATTTACTTTACTTTTATCACGTTGAATAGATAAGACTCCGTTTATTTTATCCTTTTAGTCCGGTGCTCAGACTGAGAACGTTCTTTTAGTCTGAACATTTTAGGTAATACTTTGTCATCTCGTGATAATGGCAATGAATTTACTTTATACGATTATATTTAGATTTATTTAGAACATAACACATTTTAGAAACATGTCAACATCGTCCCTGAACTTATGATAGGTATCTTCTAATAGCATTTTTACGCAAAAAAATATTTTAATGCCTTCATTTGGCAAAAGCAACATACCTACATAATACTAACTGCATTTAATTTAAAAAAATAAAAAAAATGCAAGTACCAACCAAGTACTTATTTATTTTACCAAAATTCTCTACGTTTTTTATTAAAATTAATAATTTAGTTTTATGTTCCTTCTGTAAATTTTTTTTGTAAATAGATATAAGACCTTGGAAGTTCACGGACGATATGCTACACCCAAATTCTTCGGTTTTACATATTAATATACTCTTACACTGCAGTTTTTGTATTTTTTCTCAGAAATGAGACATCTTTCCGCGGGAAAAAGTATCCTATATGTTGAGCCGGATAACCAGCTATCACCATATTAAATTTCATCAAAATCACTCCCGTGGTTTTTTTGTGATGCGGTAACAGACAGACAGACAGACAGACAGACAGACAAAAATTCTAAAAACCATAGATTCGGCCTCTGTATCGATAATAATGTTCATTTTAATAAGATTTTCCAAAAAATATTTAATGTACAGATTCGGCTTAGTTACAATTTTATTATATGTATAGATGACTTTACGGGACTTTCCGGTAGTGTCATTTAAAAAGTTATACAAAAATTACTGTTTTTCTAAATTAATTAATAAATAATTAATTAAATCACCTAATATAATTACTCTAACAGTAATTAAAAAATATATATATACTTTTCTGTAACCGAAACTAATGTTCTGACCATTTATGCCGTTTTTACAAATGATACGTCACGCAATGAAATATTTTTAATACATTAAAATATTAACATTTAAAATAAATATTTTTTCCGACTCAAATTGGAATAATGAAAGCAATTAAAAGCTTATACGTAGCATTCGTCACAGTCGTCTGCGGTACGTCATCGCATTTTATTTTACTTCAGGGGGTTTAAAATGTCGGTTCGCTAACAAACTGAATAATAAATATAAGATAGCGCCATCAAAGTAAATTTCTACTATGACATTATACCCTCAACGACCGCGGACACGCCGGCGAGTCAGTTTACAATACATTTCTTAGAAATTTAATTAATTTCTTAGAAATTTACCTGGAGGTGTGTTAGAATCCAATGTTGTATTGTTCTGTAAACAATAAGATTTTCGCTTTAATACTCTTTTTAAATGTTGTAAGTATGTAGTAATATTTGTACTTAAAATATTTTTATGTATATCCAGCAGTGGACGTGTTTGGGCTGAGACGAAACAAAATTTAAAAAAAGCCTTAAACTGGGCCCGCAAGCAATGTAAACCATTTCTTGCGGTCCCAGTTTAAGGCACCCTTCCTTAGCACCATTAAACTAGAACGTTGAATTCAATCGAAATGTCACACAAAACGATTCGCGGCTGTCAACTGTCAAGTGTCAGCAATCATTTACTCGATTTGCATGCCGAGGAGAGGAGTACAGCTTTCGTAATTAATGGAAGCTTTTGATGATATTATTTTATGAAATAAAGCAGATTTGTATATAGAAACTGTTTTTTTAATATACATATAATAATAAAAACTAAAAAAAAAATAGAAACCGCCTTCCAGGCACTAAAATGTAAAAAATAACTAAACGGAGGTTTTCATTTAGAATAGATACCTAATTAGATATTTTCGAAGTCTGCGCCAGCCGATGCAAAGCAAATCTAATATATTTCGATACGTATAATACATATTTACCTATTAGATAATAATATCTTAAAATATTGTAGGCTATACTTGTCCAGCGTGGTGGACTATGGCCTGATCCCCCTCGTATTGAAGGTAGGTCTGTGCCCAGCAGATACGAAGCACGTTAAATAGAGCTAAATACACAGTAACATTTCTTACGAATATAATATGTAGATGCAGACATAAGGCATTTATCTTTGTTGCTCTGCTGGTACTTTTTTAACTGAGCAAAGATCAGCGTGATTATTCTCGTAAATAGTTTTTCTTTAATACTTAGTGCACTTATGTGTAATGTGATATTCATGGGATATTAATAATTATCCGCGATATGTAGTTAAAGCCTGGATGATTTCAAACATATTAAAATGATATTAACTGACAAATGTTCACAGTATTATTTACAATACAATACAATTTCCTACAGCATGGATAACTGCAAAGTGTAGGAAACGACGCGTCGGGTTAATTCCGATTAAAAGTACCTCCTTTTATAGTTCAGTTTCCTGTTAATTAAAGCTTTTAAGTCTAAGAGTACAGGCAAGATGATGGCACGTTTAGCTCAGTTTGTAGTGATCCTACTTGCTGTGCTAGCGGTCGCGGGTTCTAATCCCGCTAGGGGAATTCATTTGTGTAATGAGCACGAATGTTAATACTCCAGTCATGGGTGTTTATATTTATAGTACGCATTTAAAGTTATGTGTAGTATATAAAATACATTATACAGGAAATCAAACATAATACTGAATAATATGTTACTATGTAATATAATATGTTAACATTTGTAATTTTATGTATATTTTAATTATTGAATAATTGCATGATGTAAGGCTGAATTTGGCTGAACATTAAATATATTATTATCAAAGTCTAAATGTATGTATTAACCCAAGTTCGCAATAAAGTGGTTGATTTGATTTGATTTGATTTGTAGTGTATCAACTATCCGGTATCCATAACACAAGCCTCGTAGCTTGGAACTACCTATATGTAGACTAGTTTATAGATAGACGATTTTAACATGTGGTGTCATCGCACCCCATTGGCCGCATGAGTTATGTTCACAAACATTTTGAATATTATATCTATATTATTACTCCACTCTTATTGATAAAGTTCTAAAATTGTGTTGCATTTGTATCAACAGTGAATCTGTGGATTAAAACAATTTGATACTTGGTGAGTGTTCACAATTTGATCTTACAAATAAATTACTATATGGAATATTAAGTTAAATTATAAAGAGGCAGACTTTGTTTGTTTGTTTATTTGTTTGAACTCGCTAATCTCAGGAACTACAAATCCGATTTGAACAATTCTTTTTGCATTAGATAACCCGTTTAATGAGGAAGGCTATATATACCTAATGTAATATATAGTCTATCTATTCCATACTAATCCTTAAAACGTAATTAGGGACGAACCCGAAAGAAGCGAGGGTGAGTCGCTAGTAATAAATAAAATTAAAGTTTTGTGATGTAAGAAACTAACATTACTAGTTTTTATACCAAGTATCAAAATCACATCATCCCATATAAAACCAATTTTATCCAAATATATTGTGTCGAACTGACCATACCGTTTTATTGCATAACAATTAACTTCGCGGGGGGTACCATTTGTACTGTGCGCTTATATCAATAGAATAGAGTATATCTTTAACATTCATTGTTAATTTGATCGGAGTGACCACTGACCGCTCCGAATGGTCAAAGAAAACATAACAAGTGTATAATCTAATAATGCTTTTGTAGCTTTTAAATTAATTAAGACGAGTACTATATATGGTAGCCATGTCTAGACTAATAAACATTAAAAGTTTCTTTTTAAATGCATTTAAAAAAAGATTGAATGGTTCTTTCTTAGAATTCCTATAGAAAAAACAATAAGAGATATAGATAAATATTTAGTTTTGTACTAACTTTTAAGAAACGTAAATTGCATGTACCTACGTTTCCTGTTATTACTGAAACTATTTTATTATATACTAGCGGCTCATCTCTAGAAAAATAAAAACAAATCTATCCCACGGGAAACGCACATTTTTCCAGGACAAAAAGTAAGCCTATGTGCTATTCCAGACTATAATCTGCTCAGCCGTTCTGGCGTTATTAACAAACATCCATCCAAACTTACACATTTATAATATTAGTAAGATACACACATACGTAAAATAAGAACCTATTTTACATTTATAGTGGACTTATACAAGAGAAGTAGGGGCTTCAGTAGTAGTAAAATAATTGAGACTCGATTTTAAAATATCCCACAAACA